GCAAGTGTTGAGCTGTATAAGACGCACAGAGAGTTGGTAAATATTCACCAGCCTGAAGGACACGTTGTTGTAGCACTTCTTGCAAGGAGGCACCTTCGATGACTCGGACTTTCTTGGCAGGTGGAAGCAAATTCCTGTCCCCATAGATTTGCAATTGATCCTGACTCAACTTCAAACTGTTAGCAAGGGTGCTCGGCAATTCAAAGAGGTGCTTCGGATCATTCCAAGGAATTCGACGGGGAATCGTACACTGAAGACGTTCTGCAGATTTGTGCCCACCAACATCCTGACGACACCAAACCGCAAGCCACCTCGTACGCTGGTTGCTGGTCATCTGGTGAATTGCAACATCTTGGGACCAAATCCGCATATAGCCAGCAAGTTGCATCGCTGCTGAGATCACTCGCCAATGAGGGTGAGATTCCAGTCCATCAGAGCATTCAAAGAGTGCAAGGACAGGCCGAACTTTGCAAATATGGTCAATGGCATCAAGGAAGCAAAACCCTTCATCCGAAGCGAGGCCAGAATGCTTGCCTCCTTTGCTCCAACTTGGACATGGAGGTGAAAGCGTCATGAGCAAATTGGATTTATGTGACGTTGCTCTGACCAGTGTAGTCTCATTGATGTCAGCAAGTATGCCAGTGCATGCATCGCTAGAATCAAATTCAACTTCAAGAGGGCACCGAAGAAATTCCTTGCGATGATTCACGCTCCACGTTCGCATAACATCTAAGCTCCAGTCAACCGAGGTATGTGAAGCAAATACAAACCCCATGCCCGCATTTTGAAGCCACCACATGGCCCGAAGCCAGCCTTCATAGGCACCAGCGAATAGGTGTGACACCTGCCAAGCAAGGCTACTATTGTAGCTGGGAATATTCCAGACTGTCACCTTAGCGTCAGCTAGAATACGATCACCATCAAGCCGATTTCCCGGTTTAGCAAGAATGCCAATCCACATGCCAGGAGCCAGATCAAGCCTGCAATGCCTCACCGGACAAAGGATGTCAAAAGTGGGCCATTTCACATTTTCAGCATCAAGCGGCTGCATCAACATTGAAGTCCTCCGGATATGGGCACATAGAGTCGGACCAGTGTGCACATCCATTACTTCTCCAAACAAAACCCAGTCTTCAGAAGCAGATCTACAGTCACCACAAGACGCAATGCCATGAAGTGCCCTGGTCACTGTCTCCGCCAAGGTCACTGGCATGCCCATCACAGACCATTCGATCAAGCTTTCCACAGCATGATGGCCAACACCACTCTTCATTTCCATCTTCTCCATGGCGATCCCTCCACCTGTGGGTGAAGGGTCGGTGGACGCGCCACCTCCACGCAGGGCGTGGACAGCAGCGCCCCGGCCCTCGCGGGTGGGCGTGAGGCAAATAGCTGAGAGCCAAGATGCCTGGGGGGGGAGCTTCCTTGAAGAAGCGCTCGCACTATTCATTTGGTTCCTAGACTTTTTGGGAAACTTAAGAGTTTCAGCATCTTCTTCCTCTGAAACTTTTGTGCCGCAGCCTTCTTGCCAAAATTTGGCACGATGCGGTCCCTATCCACCTGCGCAAGGCTGCCGTAGGGGTTCGGAGTGAATCTTGGAGTCTAATTACACTCAATTCTAATTAAAGTCTACTTATTGTTTCTACTAGTAGCTTCTTGTTCCTAGTAGTAACGCCAGGAGCCCCTAGAAGCGTCCTTTGCTCCTAGTAGCGATGCCAGGAGCCCCTAGTAGCGATGCCCTTGCTCCTGCCGTAGGGGTTCGGAGTGAATCATTGGGATCACAATGTAATTGATGTAATTACCCGGTATACACTACACGTCGCATCATCTGAACCAACCAGCTTGTCTGTTACCAAGCAGCACTGGACCAGCATGGGGTTCATTGTGCTGTGAGGTGCACAAATCAGGAAGTGTACCCGCATGCCATAGCCCCTCTTTGAACATCAAACAGATGCGAGTGAAACAGCCACCAGAGCTACAGCAGGTTGAACGCAACTCTCTAAGTCCACCCTCCTGAGTGGATCTGAGAGGGAGGTTGCTGGTACCATGGCAGCGGCTGCGGCTGCATCCATGAAGGATCAGGCGGCATGGAGAGCGCCAAGGAGGATCCAGAGGCGCTCGCTTTGGAGGACATGAATGGACATGAAGGACGCTGGGGTCGCCAGTGACCTATGGCCCATCGAGACGAGGGAAGAAGGATGGGAGAGGAAGAGGGGCGACCACAAAAGCCATGGAAGCTTTCAGGCGAGGTGATGTTGAGGGCTATGCAGCCGACGACTTTGGGAGCAGCGGAAGCTGTGCTGGCGGTGGCTGAGAGGCCGCACGGGAGATTGGCTAGAAACCGAGGGTGAAAGGCGGGAAGCCTCGGGGCTCGGTCAATCTGTGGGCCAAGTCAATGGCCAGGAGAGGAACGTGGCGCCAGAATGCGCCAGAGCTACAGCACAATGAACATCCCTCTTCTCTTTCTGTTCACCGGTTTGGGTAGTAGAAAGAAGTGGTGTGGCAGTCGTTGTGTCCAGATTGGTTCTGTCCAAAAGGTTCTCCCTGCCTCTGCTGAAAGCTTCTGCACCTCGCTCCAGGCCGTCTCCAGCGCCTCTTTCTCGCTTGCCTCACTGGGTGGTGCCGCCTGCCGCGCTGCAAGCGGACAACTCAACTGCTAAGTTCATTGGTTGGTAGTTCAACCTGTAGTTCAACCAAAGTCTTATCACTTTGCGTGGCAAATTCTTGCTATCAAGGCCCAATTGGATTGATGTTGTTCGGTACTTGTCGAATGTCTGTCTGTCAAGAGTCATCTTTGAATGTGCAAGAAAGTCGCAGTTAGCAGCCTGTCAGCAGGTGCCGAAAAGATGTTGGAATAGCAGTGGAAGACTTTCTGTATGGTGCACCTGCGTCGGGGTGGTCTCCACCGCTGCGGAGAGGCTCAAACTGGGCCTGAAAGCTCCTGGGCCGGATCACAGAATGCCACAGATTTCTTGTAGATCTATTTGACTGTGATTGACATGATTGACTATTTACTATTTGTTCTTCATTATGAATCCATTCAGTGTATAATAGTGTGTATGTATATATACACACACTATGTAGACTATGCCAGTATGTACCTAAAGTTTTCATGTATCTACAAGCTTGCAAGAGCTGGACATGGAATCCACCCACGTAGCAGCTGTGAGGCATTGCTGAACCAACTGAGGTTTCCGCCCAGCACTGTAGCCAGTACGAGCAGGGCAGTCCTGCACAAACGAACAGACTTAAGACGCCGCTCTTATTCCTGTGAGTGTCGAAAGCCTGCGCAAACTTCAGATAGCAAATTTCAGGGTAATTACTAAAGCAAAACAGCAATAAGCTACTAGGAACAAGTGCCTCGCTACTAGTAACAAGGGCCTTACTACTAGGAGCAAGAAGCTAGTAGAAACAATAAATAGAAACAATAAATAAGCTATCTTTCATTCACGATGGTTCGCTGCCACAGTTTGGTGCCCCTACCCAACCAGTCTCGCGGGGCTCGCGCCCCTTCGGAAGCGGCCTGACCAGCAGGTGAATCATATTGCCGTCTTCCCGAAGGAACGAAGGATTCAAGTTCATTTCAGCTCCACAGATCCAGAGACCTACTAGTCTACATTCAATATGTCTCTCACTCGGAAAAAAAAACTGGTTGAGAAGAGAACCTAATAGCGATGGCCTTCAATTTATCGTTTTTATATACATTCCAGCATCGAAGTTGAATTTGAGCATTATACTTCTACGATCACGCATGATTCTGCTCGCGATCGCCGTTAAATCGGTGCCTTGCTCCATGGCGCTTGGCTTCGCACAAAACAGCAATTGCCAAGCCCACAGCATCACAGGATATCATGGTTGGCACAGGTAGCATCATGGTGATGGCTACAAGTGTCATGCGAAACGATATGAACAGTTCAACCGCGCCAGCATTTTCAACGCAGCTGTGTGCAGTGCGAAATTCGGCATGAATTCCATGGGCTGTACAGAGGTGAGAATGAACTGTACCACTCTCAAGTGGCGTTGACCGGTGATAAGTGGAGCTAGGTTTTTTCGATGTTTAACGTATATGCTCTAACAAGTAGACTCAGACAGGATTTGCAGCCCATTGGTTGTTCGCACGGTTGAATATGTAGCATATGTAGCAACCTTGCATCTTGGCTGTCTGTCTGGTAGTACGTGCCTTTTCTGAGGGTCATTTGCACGTCCCAGCCATGAATCAGCTTGAGAAGAAACCCATTTAATATCGTTTGACACAAGTTGTCTGCACAATGGCTTTTGAGAACCCACTTTCGGGCGATGGGATTCTTTCCTACACGGCCTTGCATCTTATTGCCGCACCGGCGATGGGGCTCGGCTGGGTGCCATAGACTCTGCCCTGGCATGCCCAAGAGTGGATACAAGCTGCGAGTATCAAAACGATGTATTACGTAGATATCTATGGTACTGCATTTTAGCTTAATAACAAAAACTTGTTATACACAGTAAGTTTCCATAAAAATCTAGGAACCACATGAAGAGTGCAGCAAAGGAAACTCCCCCCACCCTCAGGCGGGGGGAGCTTCCTTGAAGAAGCGTGAGCTATCCTGCGTTCTGCCTAGTAGCGTCCACTACCTAATAGCTACAGTACTATATCATATCTCTTGTAGCGGCCTACCACCCGGGCTCAAAAAAACCGTCAACCCCTGTTTTGGACGGTCAGACATTTGAACATGGCCAGAATGACGAGCCAAAGGCCGGCGGCTGCGCCGAGGCGCTCGGCTGCCTTGGGAGAACTGGAACCGCGAAGTGTCGCAACTGCAAAGTGCCGATTGAATTGACAATCTTCGAAGGTGACCCCTAGCTGAGTGATCCCAAAGATGCGTCTGAGCACCGGGGCCCAAAAGAGGCCGGCACAGAGCCAAAGTTGTACCTCAAGACATGTCATATGATGTTTCAATCAGCATCAACATGCATCAACCATGTGTGGGAGCAATTCAATCAAATTGTTAGATCATCTACTGTTACTGTAAACAAATTGTCAAAGCCTTTGGCTTTTGGCCTTGCAAGGTACACCAGACACTCTTGACCCGCGCGCAATAATTGCAGTTGTCTTTATTGTTGGCGCACTGGTCGCCGAAGTTGCCAGCAGTGTCAGTCTGGCAATTTCCCGAAGGATGTGAGTTGGGAACTATGAACTAATTGTCCAAAAAAGATGCAGCCATGACAAAGGCTGATCAGGTCACACTGGTGAGATCGGTGGCAAAGGACATATGTTGCAAAATGCTGCTTCTCTGAGGAGCAATGATAAAGCAAAAGCCGTGGCCCCAGTGACTCATCCAGCAAAAAGCAATCAAGCTAGGCTTATCTTGATAGCCACGACAAAAGAATCTGATCTTCGAATCTTCCCCCGATAGAATGTGTCTGAAGAAGCTGTAACGGCCACGTCGCACCTTTGAGAAGTGCTGATTGGATTTAAACTCGGAATAGAGTGTGAAGATGACATGCAATGTCTCCGTGATCTGGTTGTAGACCTCAAACAGGCAAGTCTCTAGCTCAAGGAGCACCTCGTCTAGCTCTCATTTACAATGAGACTGACCTTGTCATTCTTCACCGTAAAGCGAGTCACCAATTGCGTGTACCCCCAGAAGCACTCCTTCGTCTGGATAGGGGCTAGCGACTAGCGAATGGCATAGCGACATTTCGACAGAGCCAACTGTGGACCCCGAACCGGCACATCCAGGACGGATGCAAAAATCTTCACATAGCTCGGCAAATCCAACCTCAAGCAATCATGAGTCATGAGTTGAGCAATCCATCAGGACATTTCAAGATGTTGATAAGCATGCATATTGTTTGGCCCTTGCAACTCTGTAATGCGAATGTCTGCAAATGGCTTCCTGACAGTTGTGCATGATATCGTCATGCTGCTCAGAAAACCACGTGGTGGATAGCTACAACAATAGCTTGATCTGGATTTGATATATGCGCCTGGGAAACGTGGTTAGCTGATGTCTGAACTCACCAAGGTTCAGACTCTAGATCGGCAAGATCCGGTAGAGGATTGTTCTGGAGAAACTCCTGCAGCTGAAAACGCACAATGATTGAGCCGATGGCATTCCGGCTGTTCACGCGAAACATGTGACCTCTACCTAATTTAGTTCAGGCAGCTTGGCGTGGGGGGGAAGAAAATGTAGAATTGAACATAATTGAACCAAGGGTTCTCGATATCCTCAAGTGTCTGAATGTCCCAGGGTCGAACTGCTTATGTCCTTGATGAAGGGTGCCTGGAGATGGAGGTGACTTCTATATAACATCTAGCGCCCGCTCTGTACTGAACTGCTCATCGCTGGTCTTGGTCGTTGCTCGGCACTGCTTCCTCGAATTCACCGGGCCAAACTTGCATGAGCTGCTCGATGTCTGGCATCCTAGCAAATCCAACTGAGTGAGGCACGTTGAACATTGTCTGATGCGAAGCAGTGCATTGCAAGACCACTGAGAAAATTGCAGGTCGCAAATCGCATGTGCAATATCAAGGGAATCGAGTTCTTCATAGTTCTTCATTGAATTGCTTGGCTATGAGCCACATGTCTGCACAGGTGCTACTGTTCCAAGGTCTGCTTCCCAAGGCCGGCATCGCAACGCCAAACATGCATCCAAAGCGGCAGCATTCACCAAAGCGTCCAGCCTCCTTGAATATTGCACCGTAGGTGCAGGCTTTGATCGGTTGAGGTGGTCAATCCGCTTGACCTCAATCTGCGGCTTTCTTCAAAACTCCGGGCAGGAAACCGTCCAATGTGAGAATCTATGGCTTGGGCAAAACGACACGGATGTTGTGAACCCTGGGGTTAGGACCCAGTTGTCAATCTCCTTCGGATTCTTCTCGGCATTTTCAATGGACCGGACCTGCCAAAGTTCCCATTCCTGATCACCCACGAGATACAACAAACAACAAGAACGTGCTACTCCACTCGCTCGGATTCATGCTCAAACCTCTGTACCTTTTGAACTGGAATACATCGTGTTCACACTCGTGTTGCATCTTTCGAGTGATCAATATTATCCTCGCAAATGACAACATGCTCAGAGTCGCATTGCTGTGCAGTGTGCTTTGAACCCCCTCCCATGCCTAGTTGTATGTGCCAACATCGCAATGATCCCTTCTAGCTGAGGCCTCCATTGGTTGAAGGTCCTGGTTCTTGCTGAGAGATCGAAGTTGCAAGTCCAGGATGGATGGATCAGATGGATTCCTGAATGCTCACTGGCTCAAAAACAAGCTGTGGAATATCTTGTCGCAAGCTGCAAGAAATGATGTGAATCCTTGCTTGCACTCGAAACTGAGAATCCCCACAGAGTGGGCTCATCTAAACGTGTGGTGCCCAAACCACTGGTTGCTTCGTCGGGCCGCGGCATCTTGAGAAAAGCATCCACCTCACACAGAGCAGTCCACACTTCTAGATGCGGCATTCACGACCTAGGACGCTTGAGTTCTGCACAGCCCATGATGAAGCTAACCGACGAGTTCAGTATCATTCAGTATCTAGTTAAGGTTTCGGTGGTTTCTGCTTGCCTTGCTGCTTGACAAGATCCACTTGGTGAGACTACGTTCATCAACCAGCCAGAGTTGATACTGTCAAAGCAAATCCAACGAGTCAAAGTTGGGACAACCAGTCTGTCAAATCCAACGAGATATAGTTTTTGTCACAGCTAGAAAAAGGTGGACTGCACAATTTGCCCGTCGCTTTGGCACCTCGCCAATACTGGGGATCAGCTCTGGGATGAATGGCTTCAGAACTGTGTCCAGCTCGATTGTATGTGGCTTGTACCTGCTGTTGTCAAAGGTGACCTAGAACTACATGCTATATTGCTGCTGGAGCCTATCTACAAGTAGCATACTGACTTTGCTCGAACCGTGAAAGCGATTGACCGTGCTTTATTTATCGATGTGAATTTTCTTGTGTATAGACACTGGAATCAGTGTCACAAAGCACAGTAGGCAGCAGTTTTTCTTGGCAAACGGGTGCGTTGTGTCAGTTCATTCTCAAGCTCATTGCACCTAACAATATCTCAACATATAAATGACAATGGATGACGATGGCGTCCCCTGTGGCTCGACCTGGTGATGCAGTTAAAGAGCTCTTCAATCTCTGCGGAGACTCCCTTCATATTTTTGAAGTCATCCGGGTTGTACCTTGCCACAACTGTGAATGCCCAAGTGGTGGGAGCGATTTAAAAACACTTCTTGCATGGGCTGCAAGCTACTGCAATTGACCAGATAGCAAAGATAATGCATGCTGTGTGTCCCAATGTACTCAGTGTCGATGCTAATTCAGTAAATGGCAACCACTCCACACCCCCTTGATATTTTATTGTCATATTTTATTGTTCATTCTTGTTTCGTCTTGCCTTCACATTTCTATATTATATTTCTGTCCGAGATCCTGTTTAGGCTCCGCGTCACATGCCAATGACTTGCACAAATGCGAATAGTCAATCTCAGATCTCCAGATGTTGACTTTCTAAGCTCCAGACGCTCCAGCTGGCAGGTTGGAGGAGGACTTCTTTCCGTCCTGCGGAATCCCTGTTGATCCCCCCAATCATCACATTGGGTTTGTTTAGGGCACAGAACCACTGCAAGGATGCCTTGATCTGTGAATTTATTTGGGCAAATATACAACGAACCTTAGAAACACATACCATTCTGCCAAAGACTGTGATGTGTTAAAACATGTCTTTTTCTTGTCGGCAAAGTTAGAGGGGATTTCCAACTGGAAGCTAAGCTGTCCGTTCAAAGCATCTAAAAGCTATACACCACTCTCTTTTCCGCCAATCTCGTGTTAGATAGCCCTAAACAACTCGGCAAAATCAACTACGGCGAAGAGGGCTATATACCTTGCCGAAATCTCACGAGATGTCTCCATGTCCCACAGCTATACTGGCAAGCAAACTGCATCAATGACCAGAAAAAAAAAGCATCTGACAAGCTACAGCTACAGCTCATCGAGCATCTTCCGGCATCTCCCTGTCTCGCATCCTCCCCATCGCTGGACTCAGATGTTGATCCCTGGGCAGAGCACAATTCAACATGAGTACTTCTTTGATCAAAGAGATTAAATTTATCAGTAAAATTCAAGCATTAGAATTATAGAAATCAGAAATCAAGCCATTGTGAGCCTCACTGCTCTCTGACTCGCCACTGCTTTCATCTCCTGCAGGAAACCGTTTTGCTGACGTTGGCGTTGAAGGATTCTAAAACCCTCCCTTCAGCCGCTCTTCAACACTGGCCCACCCACGTCAGGTGATAGACTATCTTGATTCTCAGTACCGAAACGTGAAACGCCTCACAAACACAGCAAGGAAAGGTCCAAGAGGCCAACATGAATCACAAGTCCCGCTAATTTCAATAGCACACGCGCGCGCGCACACACACACACATACTATAAGTCCATCTTCCATTGGTCGCAGGTATTTCATCAACCAGAACCTTCAAGGTCACAAGCTGAGTCATTATCGCCTTCGTTGTAGTTCAGGGGTTTGCAACAAAAAAATCCGGATGGCTTTCTAAGGAGTTCAATCGCAACAAACAACGGCTAGCAAGCAACAAGAATCCTCCTCCACCTCTCTTGGCGCTGCCCCCCGGCCCGGCAGGTGGCGGCTGCTTCGGCGTGCCAGCCTGCGCTTTGCTTCGCACCGTGCACCCAACTCCCTGAGGCATGGAGGCCTTTGACGGAATTCCTCATGCCTTGCAGAAAACAACATCACGACACATCACGACTACCAGCTTCATAGCCAAAAATACTTTAAGGATCGAAGTCTGGGACTCAACTAGTCCGAGCCGGAACGCTACTACAAGGTACCAAAAGTTATTATCTAGGCGTTGGGTAATTGTTGGAGATGCCCGACGCCCGTTGTTCTTCGACAATCCAGGCGCCTCGGAGGTACCTGGAGTACTCACCTCATCGTCAGTCTCCACGGGAATGGCCTGGCTTCAAGTTTCCAAGACCGGCACTTTTGCCACTCCGTGTCATTCCCCAACAACTTATGTCAAAGCACATATGTTCGTTCCTTGACACGCATGCTACTCTGCATTGGAAAATAAGAAAAAGAAAAGGATCTAGAGGAAGACTCCAGGGCGAGTCGGCTACAGCAATGGTCTGCCTCTTGGAGACCAAAAGGTGTTGCTAACATAGCTTGGAGACCAAGGTATCTCATTATAGCATTTGTAGTACCGCTTCCTGAGTGTTCGCTTCCATGTTGCAGGAAAAGTACTAGAGCTATCAAAAGCTTAGGGAAGCTAGCAGGAGCTAAGTAAAACTATTCCAGGCTAAGAAAAGCTTAGCTATTCAAAGCCTAAAGTCTCTATCTTTCAGAGGTTTTGAACATAAGCTGACCTAGCTGACTTTCATTCACCCAAGTGGTGTGCCAGCCACTTTCAGGGTACTGTTGTGCAAAAGCTCCTCTACCAACATGTCATGTGATACTCCTGGCTCAACAGAAGGCCTGCAAACTACCCAAGTTCCCTTTGGCATCCACTGACTGTGGCATGGTTAGGGCTACTTGTCTCAGTGTTGCATGAACAGGCCTACTATGAAGCGAAGTTCCAAAAGGAAAGAAGTAAAGACTAACTTCAAGATTTGGTAGGGTAGAAGTAGAGTTGGCTGTATGTGTTATTTTTATATCCATGTGTGTATTGTGTGGATGCATCCGTCAAATTGTTAAAGTGATTTTGGCAACATCACCCCCCACATTATTCTGTGGAATCTGCAGGAGCTAGAGCATGCTAAAGAAGTACTTTCTTTGCTTTACTTAGCTTCTTTTGTTGTGTTCCATCAGCTGCCACACTAATGCTGCCTCATCGTAGGCTTGATCAGCCACTCCGTCGTCGGCCATCCTCGGAACACATGCACAGGACCTGAAGGGAACAAGGAAAAAGCTGTCTGAGTTTCTCGTATCTTAGCAAAAGAGCCACAGGAAGCCATCCTACTCAAAACAATTGAAAATCCATCTACCTCTGTTCAAAACAGTCATTGACAAATGATGACAAATGTATTGGTGGTTAACACCACAGCTTCAATCATCTGCAATCGACACTTAGGTGCGGAGCGCAAGCAATTGAACTGGGGAGACCCCCTTCGACTAATGACTTGAGCCAAAGGACAAAGGGCCATGTTAGTCCATGTCGCCATGTGTTGATGAGAAGGGAAGGCTCGTGAGGGTCGGAGCATCAATTCAATAGTGTGCCGAGTTGAGCTACCGGTGAAGCTCCTCCTGCTTGCACAATTAATATACCAACCGCATACAGTAAGAGGTTGAGTCGCCTACATTCCTATTTCAGAGCTTAGGAGGATCTTGGCTGCTCACTCAAAACCCTGAAGAAACGACTTGGAAGTTGTTGGAACTTCTTGCTTCTCCCTTCTTTTGCAGGAAGCTTCAACAAGCCATTGGTATTGCCACAAAACACCTCACAGCTATTGTTGACGGAAAATATGCTGCACTGCTGCACCAGGTCAAACAACACCAACAAGCAGCTTACCTTGTGGTCCGCAACCTATGAGGGTTTTGTCACCAAAAGAACGTCGGATAGAATGGTGGCCACAGCAACAGAGATTGCACCCCAGAGCCTGAAGTCCTTAATCCTTCCATTCGCTAAATATCCTAAACAGTCCTAAACCATATGATATATTATCCATTCAATCTTTGTAATGCACTCACCGAAGGAAATACAAACCCACACATAAGAGCGTGCGAGCGGATCCTGTGGTATTGTATGCCATGTCCGATGCGACGTTTGGACAGGTCCTCCGTCGACAAAGCTCCGGTGTCAATCTATAGTATCAAGCGGTTCATACTTTTGCCTCACTGCCAACCAGAACCCAGCAGGCTTTTGCTGCAAGCTGGCGCGGACAAAGCTTTTTGAAAGCTTGTGCCTACTGTATTTAAATCAGTTGAGTTGAAGCACCAACAGCACCAGCCAGCATCGTTCTTGTCCTTTCCTGAAGTCAGAAATTACACAACCTGAAGTCAGAAAGAAATGAGATGAAGCGCACTTGTCGACCTTGCTGAGCGTGCTGTTGGTCATTCGACAGGCAGGCCGAATCACAACTGCCCGGCAGAGTCCAAGAGATCGGCAAGAACATCAGCGAGACCTTGGTCAAAGGTCTGGAAGGGGTTGTTTAAAAAGCAACAAAAAAGACATGGAAAACTAGAAGGCAAGCCCTCCTTTAAAGGATAACTTAAATGCCTTACCTTGTTTTTCTCTTTATGTTTTTAAAACCCCCTAAGTCAAGAAGAAACTGTTTGTTCCATTCTTCACACAATCCGTCTGACTGGTTGCGTCTTTTTGAGAAGCACTCTCAAGGCACCTTGATTTGAGCATGCTTTGCCGAGAGACCCATGGTGAAGCTCCAGCGATCTTCCTCGCTGCTTGAGGCAAAAGGGAGAACAAAAAACTATCCTTTCGGAGTGCCTGGAGTCGCGGCAGCCGCAGTTCATCACCCCGGTAGTGCCAGCCGGCCACAAGCCCGCTACTTCTCCTGGATACATGCAGCCATGCTGAAGAATAAGGCTGGCTGACTCAATGCATTTTGTGCTGCGACAGCAAAACACTCTGCCAATAGGGTGTGCAGGTTTAAGTTTAAGAGGACTTTTGCTTCTCTTGAGTTTTAAGCGTTCTCCAACTGACAGTGCCCATGGTCCAGTTGGAATGTCGCAACAAAGGCGGCACCAGCGGATATCTCTCTGGACAATGAAGTCCCTAGGCACGTCACAAACACAGATTGGCAGCTGGGCCAGACTTGACTACATCCTGATTTGACTGATGTAAAATCCAAAGCGCTTGCGAGCACGGCTGCAAATCCACTCGCTGCCAAGGTGCGATCTCGACAGCCTCCCCACGTGGGCAAAGCTGACAAATCACCACACGGGCCTGTCAAGCGGCACATATGGTATATAACAACATGTGTATTAGGATGCTATTAGGTGGAGGCCATCGCAAGTAGGTTGGAGGCCATCGCTACTAGTAACAAGAACAAAAAAGAAAAAAGCCAAGATTGACAGGGATCCAGCACCTCGGAGGTCTGAGATCAAGGCAAGTCATATCAATATTAATCGTGCCCCATGGCATCAGCTACTTTACAAACTTGCAAACTATTGTTGAAAAGTGTTGA